TAAATTATTCTGATGATTCTCAAAACTATGTTTATGATAAACGTGATGAACGTCTTCCTACACAGAGCAACAGGGGTGTCGATTTGTATCCGTGTTTGGGGGGGGGGGGGGGGGGGTGATAGGTGCCAAAATATTTTCGGCAATGGATCAAAGCAACCAAGAGGTAGAAGCGTGTGGCAGGTTGCACCCCGACCTTCCAAGTTATTAACTTTTTCAAGTCACCCTCAATAAAGATAACATTTCAGAGAATATGGGACCGATGTGGGTTCAACATGGGCTTGCTACCTGGGTTATTTTCCTCTCAAGCGCGTAGCCAGGATTTTATTTTAGGGGGGGGGTGGTAGTGAGCACGCGAAGCGCGCTCCCTAGGGGGGGGGGGGGGTACAGGGAGGGGAAGCTTTGACGTTTCTTCAAATTATTAGAAAACGAAGACGATTCGTTGTACCATTCTCGCCTCTTAATCCTTGTCTGAATTCAGTCCCCCCCCCCCCCCCCCCCCCTACCCGCGCGAAGCGCGGAAGCTTTGACGTTTCATTAAATTATTCGAGAAAGAAGACGATTCGTTGTACCGCTCTCGACTCTTAATTCTTATTTGAATCAAGCTCGCCTTCCTCCGCGCGTAGCGCGGAAGATCTGACGTTTCATTAGATTATTAAAGAAAGAAGACGATTCGTTGTACCTTTCTCGCCTCTTAATCCTAGTCGGAATTCAGTCCGTCCCCCTACCCTACCAGCGCGAAGCGCGGAAGCTTTGACGTTTCATTAAATTATTCGAGAAAGAAGACGATTCATTGTAACGCTCTAGACTCTTAATCCTTATTTGAATCAAGCTCGCCTTCCTCCGCACGTAGCACGGAAGTTCTAACGTCCCATTAAATTATTAAAGAAAGAAGACGATTCGTTGTACCATTCTCGCCTCTTAATCCTTGTCGGAATTCAGTCCCCCCCCCTACCCGCGCGAAGCGCGGAAGCTTTGACGTTTCATTAAATTATTCGAGAAAGAAGACGATTCGTTGTACCGTTCTCGACTCTTAATCCTTTTTCTTCCTACGTCCTCTTCCTTTCTTGTTTTCTCTCTCTCTCTTTTTTTTTGGCCGGCGTTTTTTGGCCGGCGTCCCCTGGCTAAGCGCCTGTACCCTCTCATTCCCTCATTATTTCTTTCTCCCACTTCCTCCACTCCCATTTGGCGCACTGCATTTCTATGATGCTGTTGATTGAATAGATTGAATAAATCCATCAATTCCTTTTGAGGCCGTATGAGCGAAAATTCAATTATTTTATACGGTTGTCTCTTTTACTTTGTTTTTTATGTATAATATGTATGTATTATGAAAATGAGATAGCAAAATGTGTATATGATTGATTATTTCGCGAGTAATAACCATTAACTACTCTCATCGGGCTCTCATCATTAATTTTTCTCTACATTTTTTTTTTAGGATGGTGAATTATTAGGGGGAAGATTGTAGAGGCCATCCCCCCCCACCTGAAATATTGGGGGGGGGGATATATCCCCCCATCCCCCCCGGGATCGACACCCATGCAGAGCAATATAAACACAAACATATGCAGATGATGAAGATATAGTGCTTACCTGCAAGGTGGCTAGCAACTGTATATTGATCACATTCATACTTCAGTCCTTATTACAAACGAAGGTAAGCATTCTAATAATATTATTTGATAAACAATACATAGGTATTTATAATTATCTTTTATTATGAAAACAAACGAATAATGAAATTAAATACTGTTCGGTATGATGTTTGATTGAAAGATAGCCACCGTGGTTATATTTTTATTTGTATATTAAATCACATTCAACGGTGTTATGAGTCAAATCTATTATCGCTTAATCTCATATTGGAATAATTGGGGTGCACATTTCTGTAAAACGATTGTCAATGTAGGTGATGTAGAGATTCCAAGTTATCTGGTCTGTATAATTCACTCCATTAATTTGATCTATTTAGATACCGCCAATTGTTATAGAACGGCGTTGATATGAGACAATGAGATTCATATCCTTTTCCGGATTTGTTTCTTCTGATGCAGATCGGTTTTGTAAAACCCTTGAAACCCCTTCGTTACTTTTTTATGTTTCTTTGTTAATTAATATTTCACAAGCTGCACGCGTTGATATTTGTCACCGTCAGTGCATGGAATTAAAAGCATATAAATGATCAATGGGACGCAGTTGGTACTGCATTAACCTTTTTGTGTATAAAAGTCTTATCTTTGGTAGATGGCGCTGTTTACCTTGAAGTGAATATATGTATCGACTATCTTTAGTTTGAAAATTGCATACAGATACACAATTAGTGAATTTGTGTTTTGTTAGAGCTCTCTCTTCGATACCATTAATAAGACTTTTAGTGAAATATATATATATATATATATACACATATATATATAGTACAGATTACTCATTTATTTCATATATTGAATGGTTGTTGTTGTTGTTTGGTATTATCGGCGTTTCCTTCTTTTTCAGAATATTTATGGTGCTGGAGGCATATTTTGTTAAAACACAGTTAAGTCACAATTAGACCTTGTGGCATATGAGGTTTGTGCTAAACATAACAGTACTACTACTATAACACAACAACAACTACTGCTTCTACAACTACTTCTACTACTACTACTACTACTACTACTACTACCACCAATAGTACTACTACCAATGTCTTGCCAACGTACATTAGCGCCGTTCAAGTCCCACCACGGCACTAATGTCTTTTGACAAGACATTGATCTACATTTGCCACTCTCCACCCAGGTGTCAAATGGGTACCCGGTAGGATGCCAAAGCTAATGTGCTTAGATTAGCAAGTGTGCGCATGTGAAAATGAAGCCTGGCTGGAATGCTCCCCAGGGAATGGATAATGTGCATATATTGTATGCAGGTAAGCCTGAATACAATGACCGGGGTAATAATATATATATCTGTAAAGAGCTTTGAGAGGGCCTTCCGTCCTGAAAAAAGAACTAGCTATTATTAATGCTACTACTACTACTACCTCCACGACTACTACTACTACTACTACTACTGCTACTACTACTACTAATGATAGTAATAATAATAATGCTACTACTATCGGTATTGTGGCTGATGCTGTTACAAATGGACAGGCAAGACGCTGTGTAATGCCGAACTGTTATATAGAAAAGTAATGTAATGTTGGCAAAATTGAGACATATTAAGGTCTTGAGGCAGCACGCATCGTTCCTTTAAAGCGATCTCCATCAGGTTGACTGGACTGGTGCTTCCCCTTCAACGAGAGAATTAAATCAGTACGATTGCGATTATTAGTAAGTGGTATAAGTCCAACGTGTGCATGGTTCCGGTGCTGCTACGCCTTTGTTTAGAGTTATAGGCCCGAATTCACAAAGGAATTTTTTTAGACAAACCTCCTTTGTGAATTCGGGCCATATGGTTTGACAGATAAGTCGATGTTAGAAACTTTAATTCAAATTTTAAAAGTGTGATAGTTCAAAACTTGATCTGAATTGATGTTGGAAGAGTATTATCATGTTATGCTATTTTATTGACGATTTATATTCAATTTAAAAAAAAATAAAGAGACTACTTTCTTTGTTCGCTGAGTGTATAAAATCCTACCACTACTACTGCTGGTACTACTCGATGAACCATTATCATTAGGCAGGGGTTCGTTGCCCTAAACCTCCGTCTCCGCTCTCCTTTGTTCCCTGTAAGTGCTGCTCTCTGATTTAGCTCCCTCAAAATATTTTTTTTAATACGGTTCCTTTCCACTGCTCGATCCATTATGTACTTCGCTGTATTTCCTTATTAAGCCTTCTCGAATTATCCAAACCATCTCACGCTTTTCTCCCTAGCCTCCCTAACAAAGATGTGAAGCTACGATCAGGTAAATGGCTTTATCGAGTAAAAGTTAGATAGAGAGGGAGAACAAGAAAAGGGAATATAATACATAGATGTATAATACAAATGATTTAATCAGAGTGGAAAAAAATAGAGGAGATGGAAGATAAGAGCGAGGACGGAGAGAGAGAAAGATGATAATGGTGAGAAGGCGATATGGAAAATCACGTGTTTAATAACTAATACTTTTCTTCACGTATTGATTGATTGTATGCCATACGGTGACCATGACAAAGAAGGCCCGGGAGCGAGCCCATGTGTGATAAGTTTCCCAGCCATCCACGTGGCAGTATTTGTACACGTGGCCTTTCTTTGTTCGTTCACGACTTGACTTTGATTAATTCAGTATACAAACCACGCGGTAACGAGTGTTCGACATACGGTTCCTCTTTAATTGAATTGAATTTAATATAATTTATTTGCTTCTGCAACATACAAATCCAACAGACCAACCAAAAACAACGAACAATTCTATGAAGAAAATGTTCAATCATACCAGCATCCAATCCCACGAAAGTCTGTTTCGCTTCTGTTTGAATATGTGATAGGGGTTGCAATTACGGCTAACAAATCACGTCTTTATAGGGGTTCTGCTCCCATATATTGCTTCCTGCTAGTAATTTGATTTGATCGGATATTAATTCATTCACGTATAAAAAGAAGTAAAATAATCAAAACATTACACATTATGTTTATATACTAAAAAGATAATAGGTTGAATGGCCCTACTCAGCATCCATCCACATTGTGGCGCTTTTCTACCAACGGGTCCAGCATTCGATACAAACATATAGGAATATGACATCGACAATCACTCCACACAAATTAATAATAAAACAAAGAGACATATGCTCAAAATATATTTAAAGAACTAAAAGTAACACAGAGGTGAACTACACCCTGAGAAATTACTAAAAACAGGAATTTACAATTACACACTTAAAGCAATACCCTATTTAGTTGGGAAGAACAGCAAGTAATACATAAACAACAACAACGAAGTCGTGAAAAGGCATTTTATGTTAGGTATGTTTTTTTCTGGTGCAGAAACATGGACATTAAAGAAGGTAGATGAAAATAGACTTCACACTTTTGAGATGGCATGCCTCAGGAGAATCATGGGTGTGACCAGATTTGACAGGCTAAGGAACACACACATACGAACACAACTGAATATGGAAGAAACTATCATCGACAGGGTTGCCACAAAAAGACTGAGATACTTTGGACATATCAACCGAATGAATTCAAAAAGATACCCCCACATCCTTCTCAATGGAAATATACATGGCAAACGCCCAAGGGGAAGACCAGCTAAGAGATGGACAGACTGCATCAAGGCGGACTGCAAAAACAGACAAGTTGACTCCCTGACTAAAGCTACAAGGTTAACAGAAGACAGGAAGGTGTGGCAAGCCATAGTGAAACAGAAGCCATCATACATCCCAGTGATGGTGTGGACGGCTTAAGTCAAGTAAGTCAATGTTTTTTTCAGAAATTATAGTTAAACTCGTTAAATGATTGAAATAGACAACATAGGAGGTCTACAAATAAATAAGTAGAGAAACTAGTATGTCTTGGATTTTAGATAGAAGTTGGCATTAGAGCATATACAAATTAACGCAATGCAACTATATTACATGGATGCATGCTTCTCGTTATCTTAACATTTCTCGACAGTATTCCGATTTTGTTTTTTGGAGGTCAAGGTTTCCAGATGAACGTAGACAACATTGTGGTGTTGGAACCGAGCTGTTGCGTATTGCATATTAAATTATTCGTTTTCGACGATAGCTTTGCTGTGACGTCATCACATTTGAAAAAACTGAGCAGGCAGTTATCATGTCTTTGGATACATATTTTTGCCAAGTTTCATTGACTTCGGAATAAATATTGAGCAAGTTCGCAAGTTCGCAATTTTCTTGAAAACTGCTAGTTTGGAGAGCAATTTTCGCAAAGTCAGTTAGTGATAGGGTGCATATGTTTTTATTTAGGTGAAACGGGCATATTCTTAAGTATCTAAATCCGAAAAGAGGTCGGGCTTGGCCAGGCACATTGGAGCTACGGTCACAAAAAGAAAACCAAGTTTAGAACTTTAGAAGGCGCTATTTATAATTCGGGGAAGAAGACTGATTTAGACTAGACCGATCCACTGGACACGTGTTTCATGTATATTCTTATTCCTGACTGTAGACTGTTCCAGTATGGACAATTTTAACTTCATAGCAGTGCTTTATTGGGACATAATTTAAATTTATGATTCTCTTCCATGATTTGAACAACAAAAACAATCGCCCTTCATTGATGATCTAGCCAGGCGCGAATCCACAATGGGGGCCCGACGGGCCCGGACACCCCCTCCCCATTAGACCCCCCAAACAAGTTTTAACAACTTGTAACTTAAATTGTACCTTTACCAACAAAAAGTAAAGCGGCCCCCTCCCCCAAGCAAAAAATAATCAAACAAAAAAATAAAAAATCGTCCCCCCCCCCGCCCCCGAGAAAAAAATTTAGTGTTACTTTACCTCCGCTTATTAACCGGCTCTATGATTCGCTGCATAATATTTCCTCACAAATCGGACCCAAACAAAAAGAAATGTGCTATTAATTTAGATGTTATAAACAATTAAAGGGATCCGGTAACTTTGTCTCAGATTCTGAAACAAAATTCTGGATTTAGCTCATGATGCAATGATAATTATAAACCTTTAGGTCAGTCAAGAACCCCATGACTTTTACAAGTCGATCGCCTGTCTGATTATCAAGATATTTATGATTGGAATTACAAATTTTGAAAACCGTTCGCCTGAAGGGTTTCATAACACTACAGTCTATTGGGGAAAACGAGTATGGTAAAACCGGTCACTCAAAGATTTTTAATTTTTTTAGGCACTTGATCATTTTGAAGCGCAATTTTTTAGTGCTTCAATATTACACCATATCACAGACACTGATAACATGTAGGGCCGTGTATCTCAGATTTAACATTGTTAAACGACCCCTTTAAGATCGGCATTGTTCGAACTGTTCTTCTCGACCTTAAAAGTCAATAAGAATAATCAAACCTTCTTATAACTTCTTACAACTTACTAAACAAATGCGTAAAAAACGAACAAACACCGGTTTTTTCGAGGATAAACTGTAGGAAAAAAGGGGAAGACTGTAAAATAATAAATTTACTGTAAGAGATACAGCAGTGCACGATGGGATATCGTGCAATGAACGCGTTTGCCACATGTCATTGCTTCATATGCAGATAGGATCGAGCTTTAAAGGCGGTCGTGATCGGCAATAAACATTATATATAGATTCGGCAGTGCCACTTGTTGTCGTTCGTTGTCCATGGTTTTACAATCGCTTCATATTGCAGGTAGTTGCGCCGTTGGTACACACACTCGTGTTTTCCTTTCCCTGGTCCCACGTAATATTCTTTGTGTATGAACTCCCCTGTTAAAGTGGCCTCTCCCTCCCTCTCTCTTTCCCTTTCTCAATTGATCTTGATTTCCCCCTTTCTCTCCCTCCCTTCACCTTTTGACTCTTGCCTCACTCTCTCTTCCTCCCTTAACCTTTTGACTTTCGCCTCCCTCTCTCTCCCTCTACAGTGATGCTGTTCCATGGTATAACCACGATACCGATGCATCTTATTTTATTTTTGTATTATTTATGGCAGTTTCATCGGATGCGTCCGGATGAATCCGATGAAAATCAGTGCAGTTAGAATTTTCTCCCCTCTCTATCCATCCCTTCACCTTTTGATCTTAGCCACTCTCTTTCTCTCTCTCTCTCTCTCTCCCTCTCTCCCCAATGGTGCCGTCCCATGTTATAATTGTGCCACCGATTTTATTTCTCTATTCTTTTACTTGGGCTTTAACGAGCTCAAAATTTATTTTGCCTAAAATATGAAATCCCTTTACCTCCTGTCTTGCTTTGATTGTCAATATTTCTTTTATTTTACCCTCTCTTTTTTTCTTCTTCCTGGCCTTCCCATATATATTTGCCCTATCGTATTTATTCACATCGTCAATCGTTTAAGGGAAATTTTCAAAATAACTTTGTAATTAAATTGTCAAATGCAAATTCCAATTGTAAGTTACCCCCTTTGCTTTTTTCATGTTTTAGGCGATGCGATAAAATGAGCTGTAATATGTTTTTGTATAAAGACTTCCCCCCCCCCAAAAAAAAAAAAAAAAAAAACACTAAACTGTGATGATTAATTGGATGATGGCTCTATATAAATAAATAAAAATAAGACCATCAAGAGAGTCAAACTAACACAATGAACTGATCAAGGAAACAAAGTTAAAAGTTACCACCTTGGATTCCTGAAACAACATTCATTTACAAAACACAAATATTTTGATGAGCAATTGTCTTTTATTAGCTGCAAAGGCCTTATGAAATTAAAAACAAGTTTACACAACTATATGCAATTAAATGTAAAACAAATAAATACCACAATTTCAGTTTATTGTTCCATTATCATAACGTTATCAAAAGTGATCTATACATACATTTGCACTGATACATCATCATAAGAATTTATTTTACACAACCAATATTTTTTTTTATCTTTTAAAACTTTTATTTATCAAGTAATTCGTACATACATCATGATAACAATAATCATAAAAATCACTGCACAATAATTACAAAAGGTAAGAACAGATGAAAAACGTCCAACAATACACAACTAGTGGGTAACACTTTCTTTTCTACAGTATATATCATAGGATTAAAATCAAAATAATTCTTCCACAGGGGACCATTTCTTATAGTGCATTCCTTCAATCTTCTTCGTGTTACTGATAAAAGACATTAGCCCACTTAATCATGGTTTTGCGTTTTTGCATTTTTGGATATAAATATATCTTTTAAACATAAGCAACAAGTGATTCAATAGCATCATATTGAGCCCTTTCCAATCTTTGATGAATCCAAACATTATTCTTTTCTTGCTGAGATCTTCAAACTTAACTTTAAATTTCGTGCCATTATTATCAACAAGTTCCTGTCTAAGCTTAGAAGCAACATCACAGTCATAAAATAAATGAACAGGTGTTTCTAAAGTTGAATTACAAAAGGTACACATCTGTGACTCAACTAATTTCATCTTATACAATCTGTTATTAGTATAAAGTATGTTATGTGACAGTTTGAATTGGAAAACTCTCATTTTTACTTCAATTGTGCACTTGAAAGGTAAAATATAGATTTGTGACTAGTCGTTTTCTTGAATATCAAAGGTGCTAGAAAATAATTGTTCACAAACTGGTCTTGCTATTACTTCAGAAAGAAAACCCTTATACACTATTTTCGACTTGAGTTTATATAGTTCAGATAACAGGAACTCTAATTGAGAGTGCTCTTCACTTTCTCTATTCAAAAAAATTTCGAATACCAAGGGAACAAATTCACATTGCCACTCTTTCTTCACAGAGTTCACTATTGCCATGTATTGTAAAAAATATTTGTTTGAAACACCTTTTTCATTCCAACAATCAAAATGGAGAATTTTTTCCATTGTTATCAAACAATTGGTATATATTACAAAGTCCTGCCTCATGTAAAGCTCTGCAGTATACTGACTTTTTATCAACCAGAATGAACTTATTATTCCAGACACTCTGCTTCAGTATACTGACCTGACTTCTATCGTTAGTAACCAATTCACCATGAATATCTGTTTTTAACCATGCTTTCAATAAGGCAACATAAAATAGAGGAATATCCTCGATTTTTGGGAGTTTCTCAATTGCATAATTACCGACAAAAATATATTTACCACCATATAACCTTAAGAACTTCTCTAAAGGAATAGTCCAGCTCTGATCTGATTTGTGAAAATATCGTTGAAACCATTTTACCAGCTGAGTATTTATCATACATTGAATATTTGGGAATTTCAGTCCCCCTTCTGAGTAATCGGCATACATAGTTGCACTTGAGATTTTGTCCGGACCGTTCCACATAACTGAAAACATGAGCTTCTCAATTTCTTTGACAAATTCAGTGGGCAATGAAATGTTGGACAAGAGATAAAATACTTTTGACATTATAAAGGTTTTTAAGATTTGTGTTTTGCCAATCAATGTTAGTCCTCTGTTTTTCCATTTAGCAAGTTTATTTCTCATTTCTTTAATTCGAGTTTCATAGTTTATTTTCCTTGCTTCTTCAAAGTCATATGAGAAATATATGCCCATAACTTGTATGCCCTTCTCTGGCCATGTATAAGCACTGTCCTTTTCGCCTTCATGCCTATTCTTACCGATCCACATGCCTTCGGTTTTAGATTTATTTATACAAAGACCAGACATTTTTGAAAATTCCTCAAACTCTGAAAATACAATTTTTAGGGACTCATTACTTTTGCAAAAACATGTTATGTCATCAGCATAAGCTGTGTATTTTATTTCCTTTCCCCCCACTTCAAAACCCACAATATTGCCATTATTTCTTACTCTATTCAAAT